GAAAGACATAAAGTGTTACCTGGACTGATATAACCAGAGTGAGTGCGATGATGTGCTTGGCACGAAATAAGGGTTTTGGACACATGTTGTGTATCATCATCGATTCCTTTAGCTTTTCAGGACAGACAAGAACGTAAAAGCTGTGATGCTGCTGGTGAAGAAACCAAATTAAGTTGATGAGATTAGTCTCATCACAGTCCTTCCGTTATCTCCCTCTTCATTATCATTTAAAGAAACGAAATTTATAAATGTGGATAAATGAATAAATAGAACGCGTAGACAAAACAGGTCAACATTAAGAAACTTCTTCTGTGGGCTAAACCCTACTTTGACTTTATAACTAGTCTAAGGTCGTGGAAGTGTTTGGGTTAGTGTCCTAATAGGAGATGTTTAATTTAATCCTCCATGGTCAATTTACCCCGCATGCACACTAACCGATGGAGTATTTAAAACGAAAGTACCAGAGAGATATGGTTAGTTGTGTCATTTTTGGTCAGACTAAGGGAACAAAGGAAAAATTAGGTAAAAGCTTTAGGTACCTTCTGCTGAGCTTGTAATTTTCCCAGCTATACAGTCCCCCTCCACTAATAACGTCTTAAAGATAGATCTAACGGAAAAACGAAAAATACATCGTCTTTTACAATGAGGTATTCTGAGGCTGATTCTATTCTTAGCATTTGCTGTGGTCTTAAATATTGTAAGATATCTAAGTATCAACTGAGTTGATTCGTCATTCGCTTTGAAGGGGGCTAATACTCCAAACGTCAGCTAAAGAAGAATTTTACGGTGACAAATTTACGTTATCAACTCAGTTGATAAGACCAGATTACCAAAGAAGAAGGAAGCAGTGTAGGTAACAACTATGGAGTTTGTACTAAACCAATCTAGACTAATTTCTCTCCCTGATAACCCGGCCCTGTGAGATACCTTGAAATGGTCAAATTCACGGGAGGCAAGAGCCCATTACTGCGGGAGACTATTCCAAATGAAACGTCACACGAAGGTTTCGCCGCACTGTGATCATCAAGTTTAAAGACGTGTATTGTAATACGTGTATAGTTCATTTAAATGCGCAATCCATGTGTCTTTTTTGTTTCCTTGGTGTACCATTTCCTTTGGAACTGAAAGTTAATTAATTATTTCCCTTTGGGGTGTTGTATGTATAAGAAAGAGCCCTGGAGCATCAAACACCAAACAGCTGTAAAATGGCTACTGTAGCAACAAAAGACAGGCCTCAGGCTAGGTATGTGGATAGATTCACAAAACATTTTATGCAAGCTCTTATCGGGTCGTATTTTCGAGATAGTCCGGCGAGGAAGAGGTACTTGTGTTTGTGCAACTGTTTAAATACAGTGTCTCGCATTGGATAAATCAACGCCATGAATGTGATGTTTATGGTACCTGTCTGTCAAAACTTTTACACGACATCTTTGTTTTTCCAACTGAATCGAACTCGAAGCTTAGAGTCATCAACTCCATGTACCTAGAATTTGGACTTCATTCAGAGATCGCAATGATGCGTCAAGATCACCCGCACAAATATAATTAGCGAGTGTTAAATTACCTGGGGGTGTAGAGCGATTTTTTGATATGTCCTTAAGCAGGAGCCCATTACTTATGGGCTCCTGCCTTGAGCTAATGTTTTAGGGGTTTATGATTACCATGAAACCCAGGAAGAAATGAAATTACTCCAGAAAAAAAAAAATTGGATATCAAAGTAAAGACATATTCGTGACTCAAATCGTGTATTTGCTCTTTAAAGGCATCACATCTTTCGTAAAACTGTTCAAGACTTTCGTGGAAGTTGAACAGATCGCTATCAATCATGTCCAATACGGTATCACTTCGCGAGGCATATTTTCAATTACCTGTCTTCTTCTCGGGCAATTTCAAAG